ATTTAAATAGTGTACCCGCGTCACGTCTTTTCAAGTAGATAGTAACAATAGTCCTTATTAACTCTATGATAATAAATTCCAATATGTCTATTCACGTGAAAATTTTGGGCACCACATTCACTTTCACCGCATCCTAGTGTGTCGCTCACCCATCGCTTCTACGTGCTTCCCATACTAAACGTACCCTCTTGACACACTACACTTGACGTTTGAAAGTACCTATCTGTTACACTTTTAGCATTCACATTGTTTTTGTGTCGAAACTAAGGAATTACGTTTTTGTTTTAGCTCGTTTTCTTGGATTTGGCAAAGGCTTTCGACACGTCTTTGTTTTGCTGTGGTGAAAGATGCGCTTTGTGTGTTTTATTGCAAGGTTGTTTCTGATGGGTGCAGTTGCGATCTTCGACAGTAGATCTGTTATTGTTTTTACTAACATCTCTGTTGTTTAAATGCACTATTTACTATTCGATATTTTTAGGGTACAATACAATATATTCATTATGTGCGGGTTTCGCTCGTGATGAAAATTACAAAGAATTTAGGCATCTCCTAAAATCTAACAGCAAAACGGAAACATACGGTTTTCCCAATTACACAGTTATTTATAACCACACCTACTTCCAACCGCGAAATTAATCACTCATGCATCCGAATAGTTAATCCTTACTTCGTCACACACATTTTGCGAATACTTACTGCCAAATAGCGAAGCATCGAAACATCACATTCGTTTATCATAGCTTTATGATCAATTCGCAACAGTTCAGTAAATGCCATACAAAAGTTCAACGGAACAATAGCTCAGATCGGTGTCGAAACAAACTCTAAACTAAATCATGATGGGTGTGCATAAATTACTAAGTTTAGATAAGATGGCTGTCTGAGAGTAATTAATTAGATTATAGCCATGATATTGGAATGGTCTTGTGTTTTAACTTAAGTGAATTCGTGGCTGATAAGTAAGTCGGAGTGGTATTTATCTTGTGCTAAGTGGGTTGGAAATATCTTTTCGTTGGTCTTTGAAAGGTCTTTCAATTGGCCTAGTCTTTGCAAATATGTATTTGTGTATGAAGTACTACTATGAGTATGTGAGCACGTATTAATCTAATGACACAGGTTGTCGTGTTGTACTACTATGTTCGTGTGATCAAAGACTTGACTATAATTATTATTGCTTGTTCCTTTGATTCTATAATTTCTACAAATTATTAAGAAATGCTTTTTCCTAACAAATAAATAATTAATGTTGCGTCGCAACAAGCAAAAGCTATATTAGCTATATTAGCTTTTGCTTGTTATACAGTTTATTTACGTCAATAGACAAAGAAGAAATATAAAATTATATGTTTATTAACGGTTTTCTACCTGAAAATTGTGTTTGTAATGGATATTATACTTATTAAGTTATCAGTCATGGTAGAAAGTTGAAAACAATTACTACCGTTTGAAATCTAAACGAGGATTTTATTCTTTAATGCATTTTTTTGTTCTTAAAGTTATGGTGATTATTGTAATTAAATTTAATGATGACGATAATATTGGCACGGGAGATAAATGATAATTTGGGCTTTTCGTATTGTCCGAAGATAAGTTTTTGAAATAATGTCTTTAGATTAAATCAATCAATCAATTATGGCCACAACTAATCAATGGTGTTGTCAGATATGTAACTTATCCACCTAGCGTGGGTTTGAAAGCATAATTCACACATTAATACTTTATTGCCTTTAAGCTTAGAAACAGTTTATCGAATCGATTTTCTAGGAATAGGTATAAGTGGATCGTATTTTATCTGTTGCTACGCATTATTCTATAATCACATTAAATCAATTTTGAAATACAAAGGCATTACAATAAAATTAAATGTTGCAAGTTGTTGGAAATAACCTTAAAGTCTATTTCTTTTTAAATATGCGATTTTCTTTGAATTGTATTCGTTTTGGTGTTTTACATTATTGAGTGTCTTTTTCTTTTGGTATCATAATTACGATAATAATCATTAGTATTTTTATAATCTATAAAACATTTTATTCAGTGTCTTCCATCGTTAGCAGCCTTTCCATTTATTTATCTGTCTATAGCCTTTATTTAAAAATCAACGGCATCAAAAATTCTATTTAAAAAAGCATTCATGCCTCTTTAAATAAACAGTCAATAAGTCAAGTACTTCTTTAAATTAATCTTATTGATGATCTTTGTTTTCTTAGCTCTTAATGTCATCTTCATCAACTTACCCTTGACATTTAAGTTCGTTTGTCTCATTTGGTTCATTCATAATTACATTTATAACTAAGATAACATTATCTTTGTTTGTTTTCATCTCCTGTCAAATGGTGAACGGTTAATTAACAACAGTGTTATGCAAAATGTTATTGGAACTTTTAAAAAGTTCTTATTCTGGGTCATCGCGTTATGCAATGGTATTAAGTGCTGTTTTGGCATTTTTAAATGGACTTGATGCATCCAATTTGACTTAGTCATCACGATCAATCAGATGTTTATGTTCATGTTTTGGATAATTGATTGACTGAGAATTTATGTACCTATGTGGTATAAACTATAAGTCAAGGATTATTTTTTTATAGAAAAGTTTTTAAACGTTTTTCTTTTAGTGGAAGTGTTACGTAGATAAGTAAAGTAACGCCTTTCTTCGATTTGGAAGTTCACAGTATCTTAACACATTAAACGCCATGGGGGTCACCGGTGACCGACGTTAGCGGAGGATTTCCCTTCAACAGTTTTCTACTGGCAGTCAAAACCTTAATCAAGAAAATCGATAGGAAAGTTTTTGTCATTACCGTTTACAACATGAATATTTATATCTTTTATAATGGCAATAGTATGAACTAGTTTCTGCTTTTTAACATTAGAATTCCCATTCGAAGTAACCGAGATATTTCCTATTCCGATCAGTTGCGTCAGCGCATCTGTCGGAACTGTCGGAAGAAAGTCGTTTTAGATAAACGTTTTCGCTTTTCCGTCAGTGTTATGTGTGTTATTAGTTTAGTGGTGAGAAATATATCGACTGTTGTTTGATGTAACTATACGTAATATTCATGGCCAGCAATTTTTTTTACAAACGTTGGTCTTATTGCATACTTGATACTCAACAATAATGTTGCGAATAAAAGCTTAATTCTAGAAGCTCGACCAGTCACTGTTTGTTTTTGTTATTTGTTTTTTTTTTTAAAAAAACGTTGCCCCACACTAAGATTTTCTCCTGTGTTGTGGGTGCGTTTACAAACGTTGTTTGGTCTAGCTGTCTAGATATTGAATCTAATGTCCTCATTTTTTATCTCTAGATTATCGTTAAACCTCTTGGTTTACCTTGTTCGTCCTTATGTTTAATGTTAGGTCTTTATTGATAAAATTGTCACTGGATTTCTTGATTTAACAATACGTAATATGGCCAGTTGTGTCACAATTGAATTGTTATTTAACTACAGGTTACAAATGATAAGCCTAATAAATTCTAGAAAATCAGTCATTCTTTGGTTTACCCTTCTAGATATATATCAGATCTTCATTTTTTATTAGATTTATAAGGTGTACAGTTTGCGTTCTTGAGTTTATTATAGATACTTTTTGTTGACAATTATTACTGAATTTCTGGCTATATTTATCTATCGTAACTCGGAAATATTGTTGCCAATGTAATGCATATGTATTTACTGTATCTGAATGTACGTATAATCTACTTTGTTGCGTCAATCCGTTCCTGGTTGCAAAAACTGATTTGCGTTATAACTACTGCGTTTACGTTGAATAACTTTTGTGATTGTGCACCTATTTTAAATGTATTACTATATTAGCTATGTTTATGTTCAATATTGTCTGTGGGTAATAGTTTCAGTTTAGAATTCTATAGTAGGATATTAGGTTTGTATTTCCATAGTCCATAATAGAATAGGTTTGCATTGAGCCACAGTTGTATCTTACCTAGTTAGGTTAAACACAACTTCTTCATTCATTTATTGTGTGGACTATATAGTAGTTGTGCGTGGTGTGATGAAAATTCAAAATTTATTAAAATGACTGAATTCTGGAGTGCATTTCGCCCCTATGACCTACTTAGGTCTCACTACAAAACTGACAAAACTGAAACTTGCTAGAAGTCCAGAGTCAAAGTCAAGTCAAAATCATTTATTTCAATTAGACCATGAAGGCACTTTTGAATTTTCTGAGTATAACAGCCGTCACATAATGACTATAATACAACGCCTTGCTCGTCACTCCACTTATAACTAAACGCTCACTCTCGCTCTTAAAACCGCGTTAAGCATAACTGATACCGTTATTACGTGTGAGTGAAGTTGCGTGTGCGCAGCTTCGCGATACGAATGGCCTTGACTGACATGATCTTGCACAGTTTTGATTTGCATGTCTTTCATGCTATGTATGAGAAATAGGTGATGAGTGATGATGTTTGTGTGACTTATTTTATTAAGGTCGGTTTTGTGATAAGTTGTCTATTTTTTTTTCTAGGAGTCTAGGAAATGGTTAGGTATTTGTGTGGATTAAGACAAGATTTGCTAAAAATGCCCTAGAAAATCCTTGATGTTTATGTAAGAGTTTTCCTTAAAGTGATAAAAAAGTTTTATCGTAGCAATAGATTAAATAGCAACTGCAATTCATTTATTGCTTCGTATTTTTTATTATAATAATAGGTAAAAGGGTTTACAGTATCTTAGTTACATGAACATGTACGTATTCTGTTTATAAAATTTATTTTTCTTTCCGATATCTAATTCTATTTTAATCAATCTTTAGTACCTGTTGGTTTTTTATAAGTTTAAATAAATAACGCCACGGTAGTAGTATGAACCAACGGGTTAGACACTAGTCTAATCGAGCTAAAATGATTGTGTGAGATTGATACTAACTTGCAAAACATATATTTGCTACCTTATGGAAACCCCGGACATTTTTGTTTTAGTGACTAGCGTTTATCAACCTGTTGTTTACCACTTCATTAACCTATTCTTTTCTATCTTCTCCAGGGTCTACCGTCGTGGTCGCGCGGGCTGGAGGTGGCAGAGGCTGCGCGCACGCGCCTCGTGCGCTGGGCGTGCGGCGAGCCCCCGGCTGAGCCTGAGCCGCCGCGCAAAAAGATGCCGCATGCACTTCGACGAAGGTGGCCGTTGTGCCCCTGTTTACAGGTTTGTTACTGGATATAATTGTTATTGAAGTTTATGGCCATACTCTATTACATTGGACGGCTATCGGCAGCGTATCGTACCTAATCCAAAAAACAGATATTAGAAGCGTACTACGCGAAGTTGAATAATTATACAAATAGTCGTAAACGTGTATTGCCATCACACTTGCAGCTAAAAAGTGATAGACTCGTGTAATGTGAAATTCTGCGTGGATACACGCAGAATTTCACATCGAACTTAAAGGGGATTATTGGGTTTTTACCCAGGATGAAATGTGTGCAGTGTTTCTCATAAAGCAGGCTAGGCTGGATGATACTCTATTTTCCATTCAGTCTACCGTAATTAAAGTTTTCATTGATAGCTAGTCATTATCTCTAGCTGTAATTTTCATTCATTGTTTTGTCGCTCAATAGCATTTTCTTCGATTGACCTAATTTCCCTTTAGCCATTAAATGTCCTAGCCACTAGTCTACCATAGTAAGGTGAGCCTCTATGCAAGTTATGAAAGGTCGAAGCCCTGTTAATATTATGCTAGCTTCCGTCTTTTCTTTCAATACAATGCCATCAATTATAATTTCCATATTCCCTTCAACACCGGATATGTTAATAGAAACAAAGTAATGAAGCGATGTGTTGATCAATATCCTTATTGCTGCTTATCTAATTAATCTATACTTGTTGGTTACTTAAGTTGATACTGAAATTGCGTCTTTATGACGTTCTTAGGGTGTTTTATTATGTTGTCATGTTTTTATAACAACTATCGTAAGACGTACTAAATTAACTAAAATCGCAGGTTACTCACGTGAATATACTGAGAAAAGCTCTACTAGTTTGGAACCACAGAGGGGATCACAGAGGGGTTCTTCCTTGTGAGCAGCGTGCGTGGTCGCGGCGATGTCGCGCAGCTCACTGTGTCAGTATATTTACAGGAAGTAATCCGCGATTTTAGTTAATGTTAATTTTTCTTTGATGAACTATATTTACTAATGTCTTTGGTCGCATTTTAGTTAAAAATTTGATCTCTCGTTTGCAAAGTTTTTTGGAATTCTTAATAACGTAACATAACATAACATCACGCCTTTTATCCCCGAAGGGGTAGGCAGAGGTGCACACAGAAGTAACACCTTAATTTACTTAACAAATTCTTAATAATCACACTTAGATATTCGCATAGCTAAGTATGTGTTTGTTCGATTTTGCAGCAGGCACATTATTAAGTTATTTTATTTAGACTTGATAGTAGTAGATATAACAATTATATTAAGGATTTGCAATAGACTGTAGGTGGACTAGCTAATTGTTCCGGAACGTGTCAGTTGAGTTGATCTAGTAAGGTGACACCCACAGAATATCAGATTGCGATTAGGGTCCGTGTCGCCTTACTTTCAGCAACTAGTCTAGGGATTTTGAATTTGTGTCATATCTCTTTGTACTATAATGGTATATGGAGTTAATCTATTTACTTACGTACATTTGCCATAGTTGTTGTTTCCTCTAAACAAGAGGCAAATATCTGAACATTCGATAATGTTCCCTCTTGTTTACATTTTTCTTAAACTAACGAAATCTACATAACATAAAATGATGCCTTTTATCCCTGAAGGAGTAGGTAGAGGTGCATATTTACGGCACTTAATGCCATTGTACAATGTAACACCCACTTTTCACTACTTATGTTATGAGTCTCATTTAATAGGCCATATACCACAATTCCAGACTACGGGCTACGATTTTTTTAAACCCTGTGATACTTTGCCCGACCCAGGAGTCGAACCCAAAACCCCTTGCCCGGCAGTCGCACTTGCTACCATTCGGCCAACGGGGCAGTAAACGAAATCTACCTTATCCTAATTTCTGATCTAAACGTCTTTGTCATCTGCTTCTTGTATTTAATACCGTTTTTATTCAAATAAAAACTCTCAGCAATAGGTACTCTGTGCGACCCGGGCAATGACCTTTACACCCGCGAATTAGTCTAGCTAGCAAATAATCGATGAAGTAGCTCCTATATTACCTACCTGATAATATTCCGTTTATGGTGGATATTTTACTAATACAGTTTCTATAGAAAACGAAAGCACTCAACTTTTTATAGCTTCACCAGCACCTGCTATCAGACTGGTTCCATGTGGAACGTGTTTACTAGATGTCTCGTCTCCAAAGGTTGAAGGTTACAGTCAACAAGTTGGCTATTCAGCCATTAGTGAAAGTTAGAAGTCAAGGACTTCATTTTTGTTGGGGTTATTCACTCTTAATGTTATTAGTGCTAAGCTGTTTTGTTTTGTTATGAATTATACATGAGGTTTAGTGTTTTCAAGTTCAGCTTAAGTTATTAGTCTAGGTATAAGTATAGTATCCTGAATATTTTCTAATCTCAAATGGTTTTCTGTAAGTGTAGGATGATGTGCACTTGAAGTATTTTTTGGTTTATCGTTCTTGTTTGTTTTCCTAGTTTCATTGTTCTATGGGACAATTCTTCCTCTATATTGGGTACATCTTTTTGTGTTGTATTTTATAAGTATCTGTCTACTATAATGAGATTATGAAACAAGTTAACTTAACAATCCTGTTCAGCGACTGTGTTACACTCAAATATTAAATTACTTGTCGCGAGACTATAAACTTTTACAATATTGCAGGGCGTGGTTTTATCGATATCCAAATTCTCTTCAATAACTCCAAGTCTGAATTTCTCCATACCAACTTAACTGTAATTACTAAGAATAAGCAGTTGATCATAGATAACATTGAAATATATCCAACCAACGAATCTAAGTCCTGAACTTTGAATTCAATGCACTCTCTGGAATCTTTCTTTGCCAATCGGAGAAATAAGTTGCAAAAGACTTAAATATACCTCTCCAATGAAGACTTTAAAGAATTAATTAATATTTAGGGCAAGTTTCACCATTCTCATACAAGTTATCGATAACTTTATGATGGATATAGTTCATACAAGATAGGTAGGTAGGATAGCAGATAGGTCAGTTAAAATAAAATAGGACGCGCGGGCTACGCGATTGACACTCGCGCGCGTGGACATGTCATTGGGTATGTAGTAGATAGTGGCTATCCAGATATTATAAAAACTTGCCCTTAGATTAATATAAAATCCAATTCCATTGAAATTAGAGTTCATAAAAAATAGAAGATTTATTGCACAGGCAGTAATGAGTTAATGGAAAGCGATGAGAGGGTGTCGTGGTGGCCCGGAGGTTTAAGACGCCCACTTCTCATGCATGAGGGTGCGGGTTCGAAACCTACCAACGGCAAGTACCAATGTGACTTTTTCCGAGTTATATGTACTTTCTAAGATTATTTAGACACCACTGACAAACGGTGAAGGAAAAACATCGTGAGGAAACCTGGACTTATAATTTCTAATTATAAGTTTGAAATCGCCAACCCGCATTGAGCAAGCGTGGTGATTAATGCTCTAACCTTCTCCGTGTGAGAAGAGGCTTTGCTCAGCAGTGGGCATTTATAGGCTGTTGATGATGATGATGATGAGAGGTTAAACTGACTGCATCGTACCCTTAGGACGAGTGATGATGATAGCTTCAACTGCCGAACATGATGTGTTGAGTTTAATATATGGGATGACTGAATCGATCCTATCCTATCAATAAATATATGGGGTTTTCACCGTGTTAATCCTAAAATTAGTCGTGGTTACTATGAAAGTATTAAGTTTTGTGTAGGTGTAAATAAATGTTTTAATGTGTATGAGCCTCGATTGGTGAATCAGTATCATTAACATTAGTTAGCCAGTTTTCTACTTCATTTAGATGCATTTTTATTTCATTTTGTTTAAAAACAGGCATTGTTTATTTATTCTTCTTTATATTATGCATTTTGTTCGTTAATTTATTTATTTACATATTTAAGATTTTGTCGTATCTCTAGACAAAGCAATTTTTAGTGTATTACTTCATAAGACAATCACAAATCTGTCACCATTGCTCCAAAGCTATTTATCTTTTTCATTTGATATCTCAAATCTCACCTGTTTACGACTTTGTCAGTTTGTTCGAAGATGTGTGGAAGTAACGGTGTAGTGTGTGACCGAACAGACATCTGGTCGACAAACATACAAACAGGTTTAGCGAGTGATGATATCTTCAATATAGATGTTACTGGCCATTCACCTGATACACTTACTAATTGCTAATTGCAAGAACTGGGTTGAGAATTTATAGTTTGGTAATTAAATTGCTTTTGGTTTTATGCCGGGGTTATTTGGGAAGTAGAGTAAAATTTATGTGGCCTACTTTTTGGTAGGAACATTGTGTTATACTGTCCAAAAGGGTTTTTAAGTGCTGCCTAAGCTATAGTATCCAGTTCATTAGGTTTTGTATTAAAGTTAATTTAATTAAGGTTGGTTTTGAAGATTTCTACTTGCCTTCGGAAAGCCAGTAGGCTTATTTGAGGGTGGTTTTTAGTCAGTAAGAGTCTGACACTCCCTTCCGCCTTATCTAGGCGGGAGCAGTCATTCGAAGAATTTCCCCCTAAAAAAGGCTTATTTGAAACAATATATGTATGATTGCTGGTAGGATTTTCGAATTTAATCTAGTTACAAAAACTAGCTCAAGTCTCAGGCTCATAACATTCTTCATTTGTATGTATAATCCGCATTGTTATTTTGTTTGCTTTGAAAGTTAACAAACAAGTTTCAATGATCCTCTTGTCTCAAAGTCTCAAATCAAGAGTGAGACTCGACGTCTAATCCAACGTTTTTTGAAAGCAAAGAAAGCTTATTTACGACATTTTCTATTCATTGTCGTATAAATTTCGCAAAAGTGAAATTATATCTGATATCCGTATCGATACGATTTACAAAAGTGTTAATGTATTGAAATTTTGTGCAAATTTTATTGTCCTCTCTCAGTTCAGAGGTTAACTAGTAAAATTTGTAGAGAAATCTGCGGCTCCATAATTTTCTAATCAAAAAATTAACATTCCTTTAAAACCGAGACGTATTAATCAAAACATCGATG